AATCGGCAATGAGTAAAGTAAAACATGGTATAATATACTGATGGGCGACTTCAATGTCAAGGTAGGAAAGAAGGAGGTTGGAGACCAGGCATTAAGGGATTATGACATCGGTACTAGAAATGCCAGAGGGGAATTATTAGTAGAATTCGCAAAACACAATAATTTACGGATCTTGAATACCTTCGACCGAAATATTGAATACCTTCCGGCGGATTATGCCCACAAGCGATTGTCTACTTTTCATTCGCCTGGGTTCTTTTACCTCACGTGACGACGTGACCTGATAAACTTTCGCGATCTGAGACGAACGTAAGGATTTCTTTCATCACTGGCGTTTACGCGCCGACGTTAGAATTACAGCCAGAAGTGATCACATTGTCTATGACGCATCTCTCGCACATATGTCGGGCCCGTAGCCAAGGTTGTTGAATTAGGCCTCGACTATTTGAAGAGATTCTCGCGATTTGTTTTCGGTGGAACACCCTCCTCCATGAAAATTTCGAGAGTGGTAGATGGGGCTTTTAACCCACCGCCCCTGACTGATTGTAATGATGTGGGTTATGAAAGTAATAACAATAAAAGAAATGACCATTCGCGTCAAAAATGCACGTGCACAATGATAGTATTCAAGCAAGTCTAAAACAGTTTCGTTGGTCGAAAGCAGAGATTTGCAGTATCGTGATACAAGAGTATGGCGATAGTATTTTAGAGATACTTTTGAGTATCGGTATTGCTGTATCGAGATACTTTTCAAAAATATATTTGTATCTCAGTAGTGAAATACTTTTACGATGTATCGCCCGTATCGCGATACTATCCAGGACACGGGTATCCCGTAACTTTTTTTTTTTCGAAAATGAGAGGAGACGTGTTTACAATGGGGAGAATTTTTTTTTCCTGCTGTGACCTTGGCAGTCCGCGGCGAGATATGCACCCACCATTTCTACACTTCTGCTGAGGGCGAAACTGACTCCTGCCTTCTTGAAATCGAGCTAGTCGCCTTGCTACCCGCATGTCATTGTGCTCCTTCAAGCAGAATGGAAATGTGTTTGGATGATCGCCTGCTTGAGCTTGCCAACAATGTTATACTGCCATTTTGAATTCCGGCAGTGGTGTTTTCATTGTGAGGGGCATTGCATACTGCACAATGGGCGCCAACCAACAGCGTCGTTTTTAAAATTTATTTCCTCATGCCAATCGAATGAGCAGTGCTTTTTTTCTCTCGTTTTTGTTTCCTTTTTTTTTTTCGGCGCTCGTTTGAAAAACCAGAGCTTACCGGGGAAGCCACAAACCAACCAAAGAATTTAGTATGTGGTACCGTGTGCCATCAACGATACTTCATTCTCCAAAACATTTCTGGAAGACTCCAGCGTGGCCACTTGGTGATTGTAAGGAGGTCTTTTTTGCGTTTCCGTTCGCATTTCTTGTTTTGTTTGCTCCTCTTTCTGCTTTTTCTATGTTTCTAGGAAACACTAAGCCTTCAACTGGCGCTCGTCTTCATTGTTTATGTGTTCACCTCCCGCTTCGCGCTAGGCCACTTTAGCAAAACTGGAAGCCAACTGGCCTGAACCTGCTGTCTACTAAGTAGTGGATTGTTGAAGTAAGCGCCGCCATTACAGCGGCAGCAAGGAATTCAGGAGCCTTCATTTTTTTTTGTCGGAGACATGCGCTGACCACCGTGAATAAAAGCATACCTTTTCACAATTCGTTTGTTTACGGTTCTAGCGCTTTGCTTGAAGAATGCTACTTCTAGCATAGCTAGTACTGTTGCGCCAAGTATCCCGAATTCGGTATACAGTGCGTGTGACTCTTGTTCTCATACAGCATAGTTTTTATTGCAACTGATATCTGTAAGTATGTCGTTATGAACAATTATTTGCAGTGTAAGTGTCCTTTGCAATGTCCTAATGGCACTCAGAGTACGGTGATGAAAGAATGAATCAATTTAATAGCAAGTTTCAATGCGCTGCAGATTTTGAATATTATATATGCTGCACATATAACAAATGTCTGTACGGAGTATGACCATCTCCGACATATAGAGAAACGTATTTCAGTATCTGCATTGCTGTATCTGTATTCCGGTATACTTTTTTCGTATTTTTGCAAAACTATCTCGGAAATATCCCGTTAGGACAATTACAAATGTACCTCAGTATCTGTATTTTAGACTTCCAAACCGTGCATTTCGATATCTGTATTCCGGAATACTTTTTCGGGTATCTCTGCCCAGCCCTGGTCGAAGGTGCGCCTAAACGGTCATAAAGACTGCACAAAATGCTTCTCACAAAAGCATCGTGTGTTAAGGAAGTGAATAAATAAGGCAATATAATACAATAACAAAACAACTTATTCAATAGGCATAACAATATACCACGGAACCATAACAAAGGAAGGATGGCATCGAATCCTGTGTTTTATGTGCATGGTGTTCGAAACATTCACTTCTGCACTGTGCAATTCTCCACTTTTGCTTGCAGATTAACGAACACTTTCTGTCACACAGATTTAATGCGGGCGTGTTCGCTTCCGAACGCCCGCAACTGCCGTTTTGCCTATTCTCTCTTGCTGCTGTTGTTTGTCATCTTTCTTCGCCGAGGCAGTGGCCATTTTCTTGTTATACAACTCTATCAGATTGAACGTCTACACAATCACACCCGAAAAAGTCTGGTCCAAGCGACAAGTGAATGTGATTGTTTTGCGACGGCACTGGCACCGTACGTGAGATTGCGCAGCCATCCGCGAACAAACTAGAGGTCACATGAGTCGCTTACGTAAACGTGACAATGCTGAGAAAGCTGCTCCACCTGATCAGTGAGGTTACATGATGTGACATGTTTTAAGACAGCTGCTCGTTTTGACGATGAATCGGGCAACGAATGAGTATACCCCGTTAGCTGATCAGAATCGTTTCAGTCTCACGTCCAATCCAGTTGATTTGTGCTCATACAATATGACGGCAATATGTGCATGCTGTAGATGCTGGAGGTGGATTAACGATCGGCGGAAATAATGGAATGATCTTGGCTATTCGCAAGTCGCTAGAAGTATTTTAATTATACTTGTATTGCGCAACATACACTATAGAAATTCGTTCCCATGCGTCTGAATGAGATTTTTGTACTGCATTTGCGAAACTATGGATCTCTACTTCACAAGTAACTACCGCAGACATCTTCGTCACTGAATTCCGGAATAAATGTGCAGTTTGACGAACGCAAACTGCGAAATACAACACCAGGACGAGAAAGATGCGGTGCTTCATCATCTTCATTCTCGCAACATTCAATTCATAGGCACTTATTTTCTTTGCTCGTTAGTTACTGCAATAAAGCTCGTTTTCCAGATATGACTGCAGCTGAAAAAAAGTGTCAGCGAATAAGCATTGTTTATAATAGCATATTAGGCAGGAGAAGACTTTCTTTTTGTTTTCGCATGGTTGTTTTGAAGAAAAGTAATGCCCGAGCAAAAGGAGAGGTCAGGAACTTTGTCTTATGTGCGTACGAGCTCTGTATTTAAAAAAAAAATACCTTGATCAGCAGCAGATGCTGCAATCTGAAGAATTACCATTGTCAAAAGGGGGTACGGCCAATTATTGACAACCTGAACAAACTTAATATGTGCAAATTTGCTTATCGGGTCGTAAGAAACCATAGCTTCCTAAAATTTGTGCTCATTGCTTATTTGAACATCACCCGCTTTTCCTCTAATGACTTTTGCTTTTCAAACTCATATTGTTCACAATCAATAGCTTTTGTTTTAATAAAATTTCGGAATCCTTTGCCGTGTAACATCAACTACGCCTTTTTCTGTATCTTCTTTCAAAGTTCACCTTCACAACTTCATCTTTAACCAATAGCACGCTTTACTCGATGTTCAACAAGCCCCGCCACGCTGTTCTAGTGGCTAAGGTACTCCGCTGCTGAACCGCAGGTCGCGGGTTTAAATCCCGGATGTGGCGGCTGCATTTCCGATGGAGGCGGAAATGTTGTAGGGCCGTGTACTCAGATTTGGGTGCACGTTAAAGAATCCCAGGTGGTCGAAATTTCCGGAGCCCTCCACTACGGCGTCTCTCATTATCATATGGTGGTTTTGGGACGTCAAACCCCACAAATCAATCATTGATGTTCAACAAACAGAACTACGACTCTGTTGTTCTGGTTAATACTCGCTTTGTATTCTGATACTGCTATTATTGTTAGATGTTTTGCATGTGTATTACTTTTTGCTTAAATATTTGAGTGGCCTTTGCATGCCTCTTATTTTTTTTTACTTTGTAATCTGGTTAGTTTGCTGTTATTTTAATTTTTTTTATTTTTTGCTTTTAAGTTGTGTTTTTCATACATTATAAGGCCTCCCTACAGTGTTTACACTATGGGACTTTCTTGCCTACTAAAATGTCTATATTTTGTATATGTACTCAATAGCGAATAAACTTCAAAGTAAATCTAACGCATTGAAATTGGTCGTTCGGTGGAGCGACGACAACTTGTGCAACGCCGATCAAGAGTAAGAAAAATATAGGACGATTCCAACGTGAGAAGCTGCCACCTGTCGATCACCACAAAATGTCGGTAGTACTCTAGAGCACATGTTAATCAAAGCAGGTAACGCAAGACAACAACGACGCGATCGAGATACAGGAAATGATTGGAATTAGAAGCTCTCGTATGGTGACACACGTGTATGCGACTAAATCAATTGATATGTATCTGCCTCGGGCAAACAGCAGCTGGACTAGTGTCCAGCTCTAATTATCGTGTTTAAAACGCCTCATAAAAAGCGACAATTCAGTGGCTCGCGATTGTAAGGACCACCGTCAAGCAGGAGAAGCAGCTCGAAATGTCTCCATTTCTGAGAAAAAGCTTCCTCGATGAAGCATCGCCGCTTTCCTTCTGCTGAGTTTGTTTTGTGCTCTCTCGATGAACGTGGACATTACTGGTCAAAAGCAAGTAGCTGGAGACACAAACAGAATCGATAAAAGAAGCAGGACACAGTACCATGTCTCCTCGTTGTTATCCGAGCAGTGGCGGAAAGAATCCAAAACGAGCCGTGGACGGAAGCATTGCTGCGGCGCTCTCACTGCTGGCGTCGGGGGATACCGATAACATCGAAGCGGCTCTTTGTCCGAGCGACCAGTTTTTCCAGTTTACCGCTTCGTACGCCGCCGGGGTCGACGGATCGCGCCAGCCGGCTTGCAGGTCGCCGATGGTCACCGAGGAGTGGCATTTCTGCTAGTTACTATATAACGTATAAATGGGGGATGAACAACTTTTCTTTTGTTTTTATAGTTACCTTCTGACACGTCACTAAACTTAGAATTAGAAACATAATGTTATTGGCAGCGATACAAGAATATTACACGCGTTCGTATACATGTAGGACTTCCCAAAGCCTAATAATGTACCCCATATTAAAGTCAGATTATGGCAATAATGTTTAAAGCATCGCAAGGATAAATATACACGAATGCGCAGCAGAGCAGTACAAAAACGTAATGATACTATCATAAACAAAAATACCGCATGAAACAAAATGAAGCTATGAATAATGCTACACACATCGCTCTCGCTTGGTGGATTCCGTGCTAAAAAATTGAGTCGTCCACGATTTTCGACGCCAACGTGGCTCTCGCCGAGCGGTCCCTCGTCCTCGGACTCGATCCTCCGACCATGCCCCAATTTCACTCTTTCTGAATCTTCACATCTCTCTCTATTCCTTTTAATCATTCTTCATATCCAATTCCCTCGTGAGCTATTAGCTGCAGACATACGTGGGGCTCACTGGTCTTCTATTTCGAAACTGCGCCCCTCCCCCCACGCACAATAATCAGAAGAGCAGTGCAAAATACAAAGTAAAACTATAAATTATAAACAAAATATGCTAGCCCCTAATCCATACAAAATGAAATTATAATTAAGAACAGTATCAGTAAATATATATGTGTAATCTGTCACTTTGGTTTCAAAGGGTATACTAACAAAAAAACTTTGACCACACGTTTTTTTTTTTGTTGTTGTTGTTGTTGCAAAGTGCTTCTGGGAGCCTGTTAGCCACATTTGCTTCAGTGCGCGACTCCTAGTGCCAGTTTCGGTTTCAAGAACGACGAACCTTCGATAGAGTTGATAGTTATATAGCGCGAGAACAGTACGACGACAAGGGGACAAGAACTAGCCCAAACTGCCCAAGAAGGATTTAAAAAAAAGTTCTGGAGTGGAAGCTTCCACAATGTTTTGCCAGCAGAAGTGGAGCCAGCTTTTGCCACTGCCAAGATGTCGGAAACATGTTCTTTTTTGATTGTGCCCACTTAGAGATCGAATGTGTTTTGATATGTAAGTGTAAATTCTGCGTTAGTTCTATTTAAAAGATAGTTGTTCTCGACGAAACAACACACAGAAACAAGTATAAGTGACTGAATCGCCAAAGAACTTGGCAGAGACTGCTGCGCCACGCGGCGCACAAATCATCCCCACACAAAAACGGCTGCTGCACCGCACGGAAGTGACGTCACGCAATTTTTGGTTAAGCGCTTTGTTTTAATAGTTGGGAGTGTCTAGCGGTAGGTCTAGACATAACGATAAAAGCCGTTAAAATTACGTCCAAACAAAAAAGTGAACAAAAAACGTTAGTTAGGTTTAGCGTGACAACAATACATAGTCGGCTTGTTTGCCACCTCAAACTATCGGCAGCTGTGGCGTAGTTTGTTAAAGCAACACATCAACTGGTGAAGTCGGTGGTTCAAGTTCCATTGCAATTTATCTTTTTTTAGTTTCTCTTTTTTTGCTCACGCATGTAGTGTTTTAACATTTGCGCCTTCTCATCAGCCCGACTTGCTGCTGCTGGTGGTCCCGTCCGCGACATTACATTCCAGCACCATTGCAGACAGTGACTGCAGCGCTACGGCGAGTCATGGCGCGAACTATTACGAGTGGCCGCGCCCTAGGTGCTTTTCTGGCGACTGCACGCTGCTTAGGCCAACGCCTCCTTTAGAAAGATGCCTGAGGAGTGGCTCGCGCTCCCAGCGGAGTTGGCCTGCCTTCAGTTTTAAACAAGCTCCGCGCGGTGGCGCTCGCGACCGACACTATTATCACGCCGACAGGCGGTACCAGCTAAGCGTTTTTCATCTGCAGCCCATAGGGGCGCGTCAGTCGAGAGTTGTTCGAGACCTGCAACTGTGCACTACTGTTTCGGAGGCTGTGCAAAGTGTTGCGTTGTTGCACCGTCTGCCACAGGTAACGCTAGCGACTGAGAACAATTTCAAAATGAAGGAGAGAAAGGGTATGGCAGCTGTTTTTTTTTTTCTCATGCGGCAGGCATCTTCCTAGAGGAGGCGTTGCCTAGGCACCCAAATCACGCGAACATCCCTAGGCGCTCTAGTCTCTAGCGGTGCGCCGACGTCGACTGTCAGCGTTTCCACTAGTTTGGTAAAGGTTGATTTTGGTGTTGTACGGCGGTGTGTATGAATTGCGGTATTATTCCTTGCGAATCTGGTGATGTGGCAGTGATTCTCAGCCGACCGATCCTTCAAAGGGGGAGATCGAGCGCCGTGGGTGTTTCGAGCAAGCGGTAGCGTTGAATGACCAACATCCCGCGTCGATGTGATATGCTCAAGTGCTGGCTGTCTTGTGTGTTCTGTGTGGTGGTTTGTTTGACATATTTAGTTTCCTGCTCATTTGATGATACGTAAGTGTTGGCTGGTTTATGCGAGCCGTAGCGTTGAATTAGACCCGCGTAGGCGTGATCATGTTTGTGCAGACATATTTCTAAATGAGATTTAAGGTTTGACACACTGTACTGACAACACCACTGTCACACGGGTTCTTGTATGCTATGTCGTACCCTTTTATTTCGCAGTTAGATGACGGCCGCACCGTATTTGATCCGATTAGTTTGGGCAGTTAGCGGTGACTAATACTGGTGTCACTCGAATACTTCTGATCGAGATCGACAGGTCTGTCGCTGCTGCGCCGGATCGATTTGGCGCAGACGCCCTTGCTGATTGCAATCAAAAGTGCCCGTGCGACACCGGTATGATCGCACGTGCGAATGCTCAAACCCTTTCTGTGCGCTCTTGTGTCTCTAGCTTCTTGGCTGCTGGTTGCGTCAGTAGACGAGCATGCAAGAAAAACAGTTTACTACATATACAAAGCTCTTCTATCAGAGTTATGCAGAAAAGGTGCATCATACTGGGTAGCTAGGTATGTAATAATGGGACGTCCGCAAATAAGCACATGTACACAGAAGGACTGAAAGCTGGACCAGTTGGTGACGGTACTTTAACATGTTTTAACACAGCGCAGCACTATGCGGGCACAAGAGCGATTTGTCCCTTCTCTAGTGTCTGTGTAGTCCTGCCCTGTGTTACAATATGTTCAAGCACATGTATGTGTTCGGTCTTGCTAAATCAAGTATCACATGTAAAATTGAAGGACATTTTATTCTTTAGGAAGTACAATGTCATTTTGGGTCTTATTACTAGTTTTCCTGCTTGTAATTTTTTAATCAAAAGGATGTGATGTTTACTTCACTATCAGATTAGCACATTTGTCCCCGCTTAGTAGTCAGTGCACGATACAAGCTTTTGGTCTTCGTTGGTGCGTGTGCGCAATATTAAATAGCGTCAAGTTACATTTCTCGGCTCCTTTATATTATAAATAACTTCATTTCTTGGGATAGGCACAATAATAAAGTAATATGGTTTTTGTATTGAACGAAATTTCTCAAAATTTTGTTGAGCCTTGTAAGAGACAAGTCCACTTGTCAAAACGTCGTCTCCAGCACCCACCCCCCGTTTACAAAATTTTCATGGCTCCCCAATGTGTAACTTTTACTAATAAATACTAATAAAACTCTATCTAGCCAACCATCTTACGAAGTTTCTAATTTAGTGAAGAATTTCCATTCACCAGTGTCACAGAACGAGCGCTAAAAATAAGCGCGCCGCCAAATTCTTGCGACAACGGGCGGGAGGTCAAAAGAGAGAAAAAAAAAAAAGAAAACAAGCATCCAGGGCTCCCCGGGCGCGCGACGCCTCTCCTCTCGGAAGCGGCGAAGCGATGAACCTCCTCACCCCACAGCGGCGGCCGGGCAAGCGCTCGATTTTTCCAGAACGAAAGGGGCGTGGTCATACCGAGTTGAATCATCCTCCGGGGAGGGCATTCCAACCGTCTCACTCTCCCCTCAGCCTTCGCCGCGTATCGCGCCGACGAAATGACGAGAAATTTCTGGAAGGTGGCGCGGAAGGTATTTAATCGAGCGGCCGAGACGAGAAATCAGGAGGAGACGGAAGTGAGCGCCAGAGCGCGTAGGGATTCCGCCGTGTAGTCGGCGAAGGTTTCGTCCGTAGGGACGAAGCAGGAGATGAAGAGGATTTCCACCTGAGGGGTGACGACTCGAGCTACCGGCAAGAGTGTGTGTTTACCGCTATCGAGCGAAGACGCGGGGCAACAGCTGCGTGAGTGAAGCCGACGTGTTCGGGCGAACAAGTTGGGAGCTTGGAGAGTGGCCAATTGAAGACGCGAGGTTTCCTGGAAGAGAAACTTCGAGGGCGCGGAACGACAACAACGCGGGACTTTGAGTGAGTGATTCTCGGAAGAGTATCATCTAGACTTTTGCTCCAAGGACTTTGGACTGAATAGGTTTTCTATCTCTTTAGTCCTTAAGTGTCTTGGTTGTTCAATGCATGCGACTGCATTGTAGTGCGTATCGTTGTCTGTGCCCGTTGTTTCAAGTGTGGCTGATTGTATTGTGTAGTACGTTGATTGATTGGTTTGATTGGTGACATATTGTATGCAACTATTGTGGAGTGTGCATTTTTGTGTATTATTTTCGATCTGCCAATATTGAGAATATAATTTGTTTGTTTATCAACTCTCGGCTCTGACTTGTTCTTTGGGCCACAGCCGGCGTCCGCTGGCGCGCCAAAAAGGACCACTTCTAAATTGTCCACGCTTTCGTGGTGCGGTTCGGGGGGCCGATACTTCGGCTCTTGGAATTAGCCCGGCGATCGCCTCCCTATTTAACGGGACATGTGTGACAATTAATCTGGCGTCCGCGAATCAGGACCTTTTGGTGCACAGTGTGTCCAAAGAAGTGAGAAAGAGCCTCGAGTTGTTGATACTGCTATCGGACCGATTTTGTGTGTTGTTCAGTGTTCTCGTTAACGAGTGCAGGGGAGTGTTCCGATAGACTGATTTAGGCAGATACTTTTTGCACGCGGCAAGGTTTTAGTTGCGAGTTGCGAGACACAATGGATCTCGAAAAGTTAGTTGCTCTTG